ATTTTCTGCTATTGGCCACACCGCATCTTTTCATGCACTCAGAATGTGTCAAGCACCCACCCAGTCCTGGTACACAATTACTGAGGGTTGAATTCATAAAAGCTTAGTTTGCTTTATTACGTATTTTGCTTCTTTAACCATCTTAAATGAAGACTGCAAAGCGAAGAACTGGGATTCTAAAACACACAATACAGCATTCAGACTGGCTGCATTTGGACTTGTTTTATGATTTGAATGCTGCACACACATACTCTGCTGCATAATGAGAACAAAGACCTCAAAAGCATCCACTGAAAAATCTTCCTTTTCCTTCCCTAGTTGTAACCATTCTTTGTAATGTTTTAAAACCACTTAGAGTAAAACAGGACCAGTAAGAAATTAATCAACATAAAATAGAGGTAACTTTAAAACACAGCTACATGATCAATTAAATAGTACTTTTCATGGGGTTTTATTGAAAGGCACTTTTGTGCTTGCCTGTCCTAAATCAGTTAGGGAGTGTAATGGTGGTGTAAGGAGGAGACATTCTGTTAGCTTTTAAACCATTCTTTCTTCCCTACTCATCGTAATTAGTCTGTAAGTACCTTAGTAAATGTAGTTACTCAAAATGACAGCAATCTACCTTGTAATTAAAATGTTTGTTAAAAGCTTTCATATATTGTTCTTTAATACACCAGGCAATCAACTACAAGTTGGGAGAGCACTTGTGGTCACTTTTGTGGTTATTAATTTAGCATGCCTAGATTGAAATTTTTATTAGCAGTAGCCAAAAAACAAACAAAAAATCAAAAGGTAACAGTTTTAACTCCTTTTCACAAATGTCCTTGTGCTCTTTGGAAATGGCCTTTTGGAAATCCCCTGGGGAGAATGCTTTAGGGAGTTGTTTTAGATATTGTCTCACAGTTATGTTACAATGAAATGTTAGCCTTCTTTGGAATACAGCAACCCTTGGTAAGGAGACAGGTGTGTGATGCAGACTTCTTTCAGTCCGTGTTTCCAGGCTTTGAACAAAGAGGGGCGAGGAGTGTGGGACTAATGGCTATGTATGATACAGCATTATTCAGGGGAGTATGCAATGTGACGTGTAGTCTGGCTGCACAAAAGTATCTTTTCAGTGGTGGTTTTTTTTAACCTTAGTGATTGCACTAACCGACTCTGCTGATGAATTATGGAAACGAAATGGTGAGAATAATTGTACACCAGGTTACTATTCTTCCAGAAAGTCAAATAGTTTCTGTGACATGTCTGCAGGTAGAGCGAATAGGAATGTTTTTCTGCTGGGGTGGATGCAGCATATTAATCCTACTGGTCTATGTGTCAGGTAGACAGTGCATCTGTGGATGCCTATCTGGTTTTTCTAGTGTCTTCAGAAAACTAGAATATGGAGCTGGGTTACACTGAGAGAGGTGGGAGGTGACAGCAGTTCCTGTACTGTCTCCTGAGAGGCTCACGGTGGCCTCAAGCACTGCTCACTCCTCCTCACTTTATCATGGTCAGGTAGTTGTTAATGACAACTTCATCTGACTGCATGGACTACTTGAAGTTAAAAAAAAAAAAGAATACTTCACTGGATACATGGTCAAAACATCTAGAAAACCTTTTCAATATATTTTGTGCCTAATGAGTACACTTTCCCAAGGGTGAATTACCTATAAAGCAAGATTTTTTTTTTTGCATGTGAGAGATTAGACATAATGTTTTGGTTTTGAAGCAGCCATGATTATTTCACATATGGTTTGTCTCCTGAATTTCTTTATGCAACTGGACAAAGCAGCGCTAGTTGTAGACATGTCTATAATCAGTTCCATTGGTGGTGTGTCTTGCATTGATAAAAATAAGCTATCAGAATAAAAGGCTCAGAAGTCGGGGTTGATCACCACAAAGGGAGCTAAGAGAAAGAACTCTTAAATAACACTGAGTGTGTGCTATGTGGCAAGAGAATATAAGACAGCCTAAATGGTTAGTTTGCTTGATTAATTGTAAATTAATAATTTACTTAAGGAAGCATAAGTTGATGAAATTGACACCAGTAAATACTTTGAAGTATTCTCAGGAAGCCTCAAGTTTTACTTTCCTAAGTAGTGTGGGCTGCTCAGTGAAAACAAACAGGACCCAACATCTCGTAGTTTGTGATGCAGTATACATAGCAATACAAAGGCCCGGGAGATAATGTAGATAATTGTATGTGGTTTATCTCTAAGCAGTGGTAGTTTAAATGTTTTTTTTTAAATCTTTCTCTTTAGCTTTCTAGATTTTTCTACCATACATGTGTATGCTTAACAAGAATGTATACAAATACATGGGTTTAAAAAAAGTAAATTTTATGTTCCCAGGTTTGAGATTAAACTCTGCCTGCACACTAACAAAGAGAATTTGTGTTCATGGTAGCCAGTTTCTCTCTTTCACCTGTAAGGGAAAGCTAGTGTTCATTCCCTGTATCTAACAGTTGGTTGATGTTGTCTTTATCAACCTCAGTGTTTGTAGTGACGGTTGAAGTGTTGTACCTAATTTGGATTTCCTAGGGTTGACTTTGGAAGACATTTGTCAAACTATATGGTTTCCTGAGGGGCCATCTCTGTATAAATTATGGAAAGAAGCAAGATTTTTGAAAATTCTAACTAGGCCAGTTCAATTCTGAGCTGCATTTCCAACACTCCAGAAAGACGAACTCACTCCTCCTCTCTAGATGAAAGTACAAGTGAGCTTTCATAGTGAGATGTAAAGTTTAAAAAGTCTACCAAAGACAAGAATAAAATCATTGTCTTACATTTTTGATCAAGTATTTAATAGTACTTAGTTTATATATTGGAAAACTGCATTGTTCTGAACATCCCAGCTTGCTTTCTGTTGCTATGATAAAACCCCGACCAAAAACAACTTGCATCAACCAGGAGAAGTCAGAGTAGGAACCTGGGACATGCAATGAAGCAGAGACCCTGGAGCAGTGCTGTTTATTGGCTTCCTCTCCATGGCTTGCCTGGTTTGCTTTCTTATATGACCCAAGGATCACATGCCCGCATCAGTCATTAATCATGTTCTACAGAGTTGCCTACAGGCAATCTGATGGAGGCTTTTTTCTCTCTCCTCTCTCTCTCCATTTTAAACGTGCCTGAGTGCTATAGCTATAAAATGTGTCTGTGTACTACATGCATGGATTGTGGTCATGGAAGTCAGAGAGAGAGAGAGAGTTGGATCCCCTGGAACTGGAGTTTCGAACAGTTGTTAGCTACTGTGTGGGTACCGGGAATATAACCCAGGTCCTCTGGAAGAGCAGTTGGTGCTTTTAACCACTGGGTCATCTCTCCAGTCCAGAAGGAATTTTCTCAATTGAGGTTCCTCTTCCCAAATAGCTCTAGCTGTGCCAAATTGACAAAAAAAAAAAAAAAAAAAAAAAAAAAAAAAAAAAAAAAAAAACTAGGACATTAAATTTTGGAAACTATTGAGGTGTATTAACATGCCTGGTTGGGAGATTTTCAGACTTAAAGGTAGACTTTACATTAAGAAGCCCTATCTATATGATCTCTCATTAATTCCCTGGGCTCTGTGGCTATTCCAAATGAAACACACGTATCTAAAGTGTAAGCTAACATCCATAAATGAGAGAAAACGTGGTGTTTGTCTTTCTGGGTCTGGGCTACTTCAGTCAGAGTGATCATTTCCAATCCTATCTAGTTACTTGAAATTTTTGTAATTTTGCTTTTTAAAAACTGAGTAATATCCCATTGTGTAAATGTATCATGTTTTCATTACCCATTGATAGAAACCTAGGTTGTTTCCATTTCTTGGCCATTGTGAATCGAGCAGCAAAGAACACAGATGAGCAAGTCCTCTGTAGTAAGATATAGAATCCTTTGGGAAAAATGCCCAGCAGTGGGGTAGCTGGATCACATGACAGATCTATTCATGGCTTCTTGAGGAACCCCCAAACTAATTTCCATAAAAGCTACACCAGTTCACACCTACACTAGCAGTACTCCCCTTTCCCCACATCCTCACCAGCATTTGTCCCCATGTGTTCTTTTGTCCATGTTGTTAGTTTTGTTTTGTGTCTTTAATCTTAGCTATTCTGACTGGAGATAAAGTGAAGTTTGCATTTCCCTGATGTGGTAGCAGATGATTGCAGTGTGTCTGGATGGACATAAGCACAGTAGACTCAGTAAAATAAATGGTGATGTGGTAAAGCATTGACCTGCTTTCTGTTTCGTGATTGGGGAGATGGATCAGTAGACTCTGCGGTCTCTGAGAACTAATACTTCTTACACTTTCTCTGTGTGTGTACAGCTTCAGAAGCAAATGCTACGTAGTATTTACTCAAATGTTGGGTTTCTCCAAACACCTGGAACTTTAACGTTTATTTTATCATTATTATATATTCATTTTCAATAATGATAAATCAACTGATAAAAGAATACAATGTTAAACTCTGGATCGCATACAAAAAAGAAGACATGAAAGTAGGGGTGGAGTTGTTGGGAAGGTGGTCTCCAGGGCATAAAAACAACTAAAATTGACTATAAATATATGAAACTGTCAAAGAAAAGAAAACAAACAAGCAAAAGTATAGAATGCCATGTGTGATCTGTATTCATCAATGGTATTTTTTCTTCTGCAGATAATACCTTTACTTTAATTTTATTTATTAATGCCATTAAGTGTTATTATCTATATATCTATATCTATGTAATATGTGTATATATATTGTGTGGTAGCTACTGAATATTTAAATTTAAGATATTTAAAGTTAAGTGAAATTGAAAACTCAATGTCGCATTTGTACTGAGCTCATTTCATGTACTTCATATCCATGTGTGCCTAGTGGACACTGTCACAACACAGATTGTGATAACTGTCCAACTATGGAGAAGTAACACTGATAATAATATATAGTCACGATTATTTGGGCATTCTTTGGGTGTAATTCTCTTCGTCTTGGAGCATGCTTATGTCATGACACTTAAAATATCCTCTTTTCTTACTACGGTCCTCCTTTTGTCTTTCAGTTTAAAAGGATGCTTAATCGGGAGCTCACTCATCTCTCTGAAATGAGTCGGTCTGGTAACCAGGTGTCGGAGTACATATCAAACACATTCTTAGGTGAGAGCAACTGTGTGCAAATTAAAACTTGCCTTAGGCTTGTTGGCTTGCTTATGTTTAAAGGCCAGTTAAAGTTTAACTCAGTTTGGAAACCAAATATATGTTAGAAATTCTATTTTAATGCGTAATATTAATAAGTTGAGACTTTAAATCTCTAAGCCTCAGAATCAATCTGGGTTGATATGGTATATATTTTATTTATTTAATTTATCTATCGGCAGTGCAAGATATCAAGCCCACAGATTAGCATATGCTAGGCATGCACTGTATCATTGAGACACCTCTCTAGCAAGGTCTTTTAATAATATTAGATGAGGAAATATTTATCACAATATTCATTCATGCATCAAACATATTTTTAAGGCCACTATCGCCGGACACTGGGGAAATAATTAGAAATAGACCCTGCCAGCAGGTACAGGCACAATTCTTAAGGGAGTGTGACTTTATGAGATAGCTCTATGACCTTCACTGTAGAAAGAAGTTGCAATAAGTAAAAACTAGTGATTTGAATTCCTCCTTGATAGAGGGCTTTACTTTCAAGTGTATTAAGGAGTGAATCCCTGTACAGATGTTTGTTGAACCTATACTGTACAAGAAGTTAAGGCTGTTCACTCCCTTCACAGAGATGACTGCACTAAGACACCTTATGTCTCTAACTTTTACTGTACACATTAGCATAGATACCTCTCAGTTACATAATGTTGTGGATTGTCTGTGGTCCCTATTGGCTGCACTGTAAACATTTCCTTCCTATTGCACAGTGAGACAACATAGAATAAGTCCTCAGTTCACTCTGAGGTGCATCTTAGGCTCTCACAGTGTGACTCTCTGTACTCATTTAGTTCCTGAGTTCATAGGCTGCTGTTCTTGATATATTTGTATACAAAGGGTCTACCATTTTAAAGTAAATGTTGAAACTGGAGACCTTAGTTGGAAAAGTTGTTTTCAAACCTCTAAATGAAGTTCCATTGGGAATTTGAACACTAAATACCTAAGCATTTTGCTTTCTTTCAGTTGGCTAACATAGCTTACAGTCTTCTCTGAGGATAGTCTAGCAAGAGGTCTTTTAAATAAAGTAGAATTTGTTTCATTTTGTGTTTGAGGATATCAACTTGTGTTCAACTCTAAAAGGAAAGCTAGTCTTTGGAATCATTTTCTAGAATAATAGTGATCAATTATGCTTTGTTCATTTATATGTTATGTGATTAAAAACTAAAGTTGAAGTAATAGTAAATATTGGATGTTTTCTGAATTAAGATAAGCAACATGAAGTGGAAATTCCCTCTCCAACTCAGAAGGAAAAGGAGAAAAAGAAAAGGCCAATGTCTCAGATCAGTGGGGTCAAGAAGTTGATGCATAGCTCCAGCCTGACTAACTCATGCATCCCAAGGTTTGGGGTCAAAACAGAACAGGAGGATGTCCTGGCCAAGGTATGGTAATTTAACAAATCGTGGTGTGATTTTTTTTTCCCCATGAATTCTCTTTCTTTCCTTTTAAACAGATGGAAAAGTTCATTAATTTATATGATCTTAAAAACTATTTTGGAGTCAGGCATAGTGGTACATGCCTTTAATTCTAGTACTCAAGGAGGCAGAGGCAGGTGGATCTCTGTGAGTTTGAAGCCAGCCTGGCCTACATAGTGAGTTCCAGGACAGCTGCCTAAAAATAAAACAAAAACTGTGTCCATACACACAAATGCAGTGTTAATGGATGCCTGAAGAGGGCATCAGATACCCTGTACCTGGAGTTACAAGAGTTGTGAGCCACCTAAAGTTGGTTGCTGGGAACTGACCTCAGTCCTTAGGAAGAGCAACAATTGCTTTTAACCTCCGAGCCATTTCTCCAGTCTTTGATTTGAATGTGGGAAAACTCATTTCAAAAGCTTCATAAGTTATTAGATTTTTATTAATATGTAGACTTAGACATGTGGTCTGATGTATCGTGGTTTGTTTTGGGCTTGCTTGTTTGTTTACTTTTAAGAATCTTGATTTGATTTTTTGGCCTTGGAGAGTTAGAAATCTGTCATCTCTTCTGGACTTTAGACTAGGTAGATTCTATAAATTGATTTTATCTATTGAAGAGATTATATGAAATTATAATGGAAGCATTTGAATTGGATTTACCTTCAGAATCATGTTTAAGCAATATTTGGTTTTCAGTTTATTTAAGTGAATTAGCCTTAAATTTGACTGTGTTTACATGTCACATCCTTTGCATTTAAAAATGAGTCTTTTTTTTTTTTTTACCTTCACAGTGTCTCTAATTAAAGTCAGTAATTTTTATATGCTTCTGTTTGTCACCTCTTGTTCAACGTTGTCTTCTATGGGTGTTTTTCTTCACCCTAGGAACTAGAAGATGTGAACAAATGGGGTCTCCATGTTTTCAGAATAGCAGAGCTGTCTGGTAACCGGCCTCTGACTGTTATCATGCATACCATTTTTCAGGTAATGTCCTTGAGTTTCTTCTAACCAGGGGACTGCATATGAGTCATTTTCTGCTGCTGTGACAATATATCCAAGCAAATTATTCTAGGAGGAGGAGTGATTAATTTTGGCTCACAGTTTCAAAGACTCTAGTCAGATAGTGCCTTGAGGCTGTGATAAGGTAGACCATGAGGCAGAAAACATGGTAGAGTAAAAGTGGCTCAGCTGAGGTTAAAGGAAAGGGTTTGGGTAGGAGAACTCATCCTGGGACAAAACAGACACCTCAAAGGTATGCTCCTAGTGGCCTGCTTCTTTAAACTGGCCCCCACTTCCTGGTGGTCCATTTAGCTGTGAACTCATTAATGAAGTTAGTCTCATCATTGTCCAATCATCTATTAGCAATAACACCTCAATGATGAGGCATTGGGGTTATTCTTTGTTTTTTTTTTTCAAGACAGGGTTTCCCTGTGGCTTTGGAGGCTGTCCTGGAACTAGCTCTTGTAGACCAGGCTGGTCTCGAACTCACAGAGATCCACCTGCCTCTGCCTCCTAAGTGCTGGGATTAAAGGCATACGCCACCACCGCCCCGCGGGGTTATTCTTTTTACCCAAACTGTTCAGCCTTTAAGCTATGCGTTATGCATTCTTTTCATCCCCTTCAGCTTATTTTGATGGCTCTGTTTTATTGCTCCTTTATAAGGGACAATAAATAGGTATGTGTGTGTAAAATACAAATAATAGCATTTTTTTCTATTTAAGAACCATGGGGGGGGGATAGAAATAGTCTATTAACAATAGTTAGAAAATCATCTCTACAGTGCAGACTAACTTTGTAAACAAACAACACCCTGCTGATTCACACAGACTATAGTTTCTTGAGTATATGTTTAGTAGTCTGCCATCATTTTTATATCCCTTTCTTGCCTTTGTACCATGGCAGAGTGACATAACTGAGAAGCTAGGGCTGGAACCTTGGGACTAGATGGGAAACTCCAGGCTGAGAGAAAGCATGGGTTCATCTGATGTAACTGAAGGCCAACTCAGCAGCTGCATTGCACTGTAGCTGACTGCAGGAACCTAGGGCTGGTAGCTCATCCTCAGGATGGTCTCAGGAGGCCAGCTCAGCAGTGGGCTGTTGCCAGAGTTTCTACCCTTCCCGGGTATTTCTGTTTCCTTTAAGAGATATGAGAAAACACTGTTTCAGTTCAAGGTGCTTGTGGGCAACTCCTCAGTCTGGGGAATCAGTTTTTTTTTTTTTTTTTCAGATTTTTTTAATTTGAATTAGAAACAAGATTGTTTTACATGACAATCCCAGTTCCCTTCTCCCTCCCATCCTCCCCTACCAGCACCACCACCCTGCAACTAAAACCCTACCTATCACATATCCTTTCTGCTTCCTCTGGATGGTGAGGCCTTCCATAGGGGGTCATAAGAGTCTATCACATCCTTTGGGATAGAACCTAGGCCCACTCCCCTGTGTCTTGGCTCAGGGAGTATTCTCCATGTGGAATGGGCTCCCAAAGTCCACACCTATACTAGGGATAAGTACTGAACTACTACAGGAGGTCCCGTAGATTTCTGAGGTTTCCTCACTGAAACCCATGTTCGTGGGGTCTGGATCAATCCCATGCTGGTATCCCAGCTATCAGTCTGGGGAGCAAGAGTTCCCCGATGTTCAGGTCAGCTGTTTCTGTGGGTTTCACCAGCCTGGTCTGGACCCCTTTGCTCTTCACTCGTCCTTCTCTGCATCTGGATTCCAGTTCAGTTCAGTGATTAGTTGTGGGTGTCAGCTTCTACTTCCACCAGCTGCTGGATGAGGGCTATCGGGTGGCATATAAGTCAGTCATCAATCTCATTATCAGGGGAGGGCATTTAAGGTAGCCTCTCCTCTGTTGCTTAGATTGTTAGCTGGTGTCATCTTTTTAGATCTCCAGACATTTCCCTAGTGCCTGACTTCTCTGTAAACCTAAAATGTCTCCCTCTATTATGGTATCTCCATTCTTGTTATCTTCTATTCTTCCCCTGACTCAACCTTTCTGCTCCCTCATGTCCTCTGCATCCCTTCTCTTCTCCCAATTTGCTCAGGAGATCTTGTCCCTTTCCCCTTCTCCAGGGGACCATCTCTTAGGGTCCTCCTTGTTTACTAGCTTCTCTGGCATTCCTTTATATCTAAAATCCACATATGAGTACATGGGAATGAATTTTATTAGAAAGACAAAGATGCTGCTGGGCATTGGTGGCACACGCCTTTAATCCCAGCACTTGGGAGGCAGGCAGATCTCTGTGAGTTCAAGGCCAGCCTGGTCTCCAGAGTGAGTGCTATGATAGGCTCCAAAGCTACACAGAGAAACCCTGTCTCGAAAAACAAAACAACAAAAAAAGACAAAGATGCTAAGAGGGTTTCTTTTCTTACAGGAACGAGATTTATTAAAAACATTTAAAATTCCGGTAGACACTTTAATTACATATCTCATGACCCTGGAGGACCATTACCATGCTGACGTGGCCTATCATAACAACATCCATGCTGCAGATGTCGTCCAGTCCACTCATGTGCTACTATCAACACCTGCTTTGGAGGTAAGGCTGTTTTCTTAGATGTTGCTAGCACCCACTTGCCACCTGTAAAGAGCTCTTCAGCTTTTATGTTGGACGGTTTTCCATACAGCCAGCAACTAACTTCCTTGGAAATACATTGACTGACTTATAAGGAGAAAATTGTTGTTAATAAACAACAGATCCTTTGAATTCTGTTTGTGAGAATTGGTCAACAATTTGGGGATCCATCTGTTTATAATAGTGCTTCTTTGAAATGGCCCAGTGGACATTGTGTGCACACATCTGGCTTGTTGACTTCCAGTTGGGTTATATTCTAGAATTTTAGTCAGATGGCTCTAGTTCAAAGGAAAGACATAAGCAACACGTTAATACTTTCTAAGAATTTATAGAAGGAAATGCCTTTTTAAATTTTCCAAATCCTAAGTTGTTCCATTAAGTGTTTAGTAAAGGGATTTGATTTCCATAATCATCTGGGGAAAAGAGTCCCATTTGCTATACAGTGTAGGCTCTTTTCATTGTAAATTTTTGCTTATACCTCATTATTTGGCTGGGTGATTCTTAGCTGGGGATGATTTCTATCTTCTTGTCCTCCTCCATTCCTACACCCAGGGACATTTTGGGGAATTTCTGGTTGTGCGTGCTCCTAGCATGTTATGAATAAAAGTGAGGAATGGTCTAAATGGCACAGTGCTCTAACTACAGCACTGATGGCACCGAGGCTGAGAACTGGTGATTTGGGTGACAAGAAGATGAAAGAAAGGAATTCCTTTTCATAATTCAGTGGACGTTACTGATTACAAGTGTTCTCAGAGTGTATCATTAAGTGAGTTACTTATTTCCTTTCAACATCATTTCAGATACTCTTAGTGTTTTTAAATGTAATATATAGTACAGATCTTGTCATGATGTGTAACAGAGTCAGAAGAAACACTTTGCTTTGAAATCACATTTTAAAAACTCATCCAAAAGATACTTCTTGATGAAAGCATAGTAAGATACTGCCCAGCCTCACCCGGTGTTCCTTCTGTACCCTGGGGTTTATTTCACTTGTTTCTATAGTACGTTCACGGATACCTTCCTAGGATAGCATAGTAATATTTCCTGTACTGTTGGTTTCCCAGGCTGTCTTCACAGACTTGGAGATTCTCGCGGCCATTTTTGCCAGTGCAATACATGATGTCGATCATCCCGGTGTGTCAAACCAATTTCTGATCAATACAAGTAAGTGAAGCCTGTGTTTTGGTAGATTTAAATATATATACATATATATATATATATATATATATATATCTATATAT